ATTTAATGCGGCAAGCTCCCCGGTCCTTACCCACTGGACAATAGGTTTGAAAACTTCATCTCCCTCCAACGGATGAAATTTTCCTCACCTATATAAACCCACCTTCATCAACTTAGAAGGTGCTGTTTCTTTTCACTCGATCATTCTATCAAGCAAAAGCTCTTAAACATTCTCAGTTCTCATCAAGCTTTTGCGAACCAGTGCTAAGGTGTGAAGATATATGAAGAAGCTCATTGATCCTCATCTTCCACCTTGAAGAAGTCTTGCATTTTATACGATGCAACCATCTTTCATCAGTCAAGACTTCACCACGTTGGAGAAACTAGAAATCATTTTCTACCAACCTCAACTCTGAAGAAGACGTTGATAGAGGCGGAGTAAACTCGTAGAGTTGAAAAACCTACAGGAAGCTGTTCGGCTTAGTGATCAAGGAAGTTTTCCTGTATCTGTACTAAACGAGTGATAGTGCAAACCTTCCATAAGTTGTGGAAGAAGAGTGGAGTAGGGAAAGTTGGCCGAACCACTATAAAAACTCTCGTCTCATTGTCTCTTTAATTTCACAATTTATTTTCTGCATCATATCATCTTTCGCGCTCAAACCGAAAGTTTCTTTAATAACGTCAAACTGTGCAAAACATTTAACACGAACTTAACTTATCCGCTGCGCTATAACTCCGAAAGGTTGTTATTTGGCAAATTTTAAAAAGAGTCTATTCACCCCCCCCCCCCCTCTAGACTCTCGTTATAACACTACCGGGACCAACAACACTAACAACTCCACTTCTAGTATAGAATCAAGTGGAAAAAGACTCAAAACTAGCACCAGAATATAATGGGGTGGTTAATTTGTTGGAAGTTGTGAACCGCATATATATTATCTTGATTAACCCTATTAAACACCAAAATGTGACAAATTAATTAGAGCGTGATTCTTATACTTGAAGTTCACGAGTTGAATTCTTGTCAACAATCTTTTGATTAAGTCCGTTACATATGATTGTTTTAATGTGGTTTATCTCTCTTGTATGGGGCATATTATTATACTATGAACCATAGTCCACCTTACATTGTGGATCTTGGTCCAAAATGACATTCGGATTAGGTGTTCATAGTCCACATAATGTGCTTGCAGTTAACATATTATTTACGAAGTATGTGTTTGTATATAAATTGAATGCACAATATGTTAACTACAAACACATAATATATATGTTAACGTACTGCAGACACATTATATACAGTTAACATATTATGTGTCTGTAGTTAACAAATTATGTGCCTTCAATTTATTTATAAGTACATAATTTATTAATTGAATGCACGTAATAGGTTAATTGTAGACATAATTTTTAGACTAGAGTTCACAATGCAATGTGAACTTTGGTCCATGATATAACAATTGTGTTTGTGCGCAAAATTATGCCCTGGAAACGTGTTCACCGTGAATGGTGAACACAAGTCCAAACGACGTTGTTTTTACGCGGAAAAAAAATTTAGCTAATGTGCTGTTAAAGGCGCGCGTTTGATCAAATTATGAATTTTCTGTTATGAGATTATGAATGTAATGTAAATTCATAATCTCATAACAGAAAATTCATAATCGCATAAAAGTAAAATATTTATTAAATTATGAATTTTCTGTTATGAGATTATGAATGTAATGTAAATTCATAATCTCATAACAGAAAATTCATAATCTCATAACAGAAAATTCATAATCTTATAACAGAAAATTCATAATCTCATGGTTCCAAAGTGAATGTGTAGGCATGGTTCCAAAGTGAATGTGCAGCCGTGCAGGCATAGATTCATAATTTATGAATGTCCGTGATTTCGGACGGGAATGTGTAGGCATGATTCCAAAGTGAATGTGCAGGCATGAATTCATAATTTATGAATGTCCAAAATCATTGCTCACCTCAAATTAAAGTGAAACCGCAAAATGTGAAAATGAAGAAGAAAAGTCACGCAATTAATTAAGAAAAGAAAAAAAAGATAACAATGTACTAACACGGTTCCATGGCATAACGATTGGTGTTTGTGTTTGTGGGCTATTACATGTAATACATCTAAAAAAAATGATACACGGTATAACAATTTGATTTGATGAGAGATGACATGGTATTTGGAAAGAGATTTTTTTTTTAAATGCTTGTTCTTGGTTTATTGATTATTTTTATTGTCATTACCTCATTGTAATTTTTCTCATTTTTTTTAGTGGACATTTATTTTAGCATACAATGTGTGTGATACTTGACTTGTCTCAATAATTTTTTTTTTTAATTTTTTTTGTAAGAGGAAGAAGAAGAAACGTTGAATAAACAAGAATATAATATATAGAAAAACAACTATATAATAACTGAAGGAGTGAGTAGCATTTCTTAAAGGCAAAATGGTCAAATACACCCTCAAATTTTACACAAAAAGTTAAATAGACCCTCAAACTTTTAAAAGTTTCAATTAAACACATGAACATAACATTTTAGTGCATCAAAGCCCTACAACCAGTTAATGACCTGTAATAAAAGGTCATTAACGTTCAGGTAATGTTCCGACTAGTTTTGGGGTCGGAGATTGCCGGTTGCCTTACCCGCAGTCACGAAGGAGGCGACCACTCTTCTTATAGTAAGAAGGTTACATGTGGTCACCTTCTACCTCAAAAGTTGATTTAATTTCCTTCTGATTTTTGTTCCTTCTAAACGTGACTTCGTCACTGTTATTTGATTGGAAATGGATTTTTGGATTTGCTTCATGCAAAAGCATTGATTTTTGGATTTGGTAGTATGGCACCACAAAGCTTTTCGGTGCGTTTTAATCTGCCTATGATGACATTAGGTGCGGTTTGGGTGATTCCGGCAGCTGCTGATTGCCGGAATCTCCAACGATCCATTTGAATTTTCTACATGTGTTTCATCTCAGTGTTTCCTGCTGACCATTTGCGTTTGGTGAGGAGGTTTTTGGAGGAGTTTTGTGTCGACGGTCATGAGGCTTGCTCCCAGGTACGTGTTTAATCAAGCTTTGTATTCTCGATGGAGTTTTGTTCCGTCGGACGTGAGCTTCCTAGTACACTTTTGATCGTTTTCTTCGGTAAGAAGACCACCGGCCTTGGTAATTTTTTCTTTATGGACGGTGGTGATGGAGTTTACGGTGGTCAACCTCATATACACAGTAAATTGTACCAGTAACTTGTTGGTTACCGGTAAATAGAACCTATCTCCTGATTTTTATAAGTTTGAGTGTTTAATTAAAACTTTTAAAAGTTTATGGACATAATTGCTCATTCATGTAAAGTTATCTCACCATGACCTTTGTACCACCAAAGTATGTCCCATGGCTCATAATTAAAGAATAGATTTTCCTTTTTTTTTCTTTTTTTTTTTTTATAAAAAAAAAATAATTAAAGAATAAATTGAATATCATACCATTTAAAAGACCATATATGCATCAACCCAATATTAAAAAGCATAATTAACTTAGGTTTCATATTAAGATCAAATGATTACCATTACACCAAAAGTTATAACTGCGTACTTAGCTAGCAGCAAATACGCAAAATTTATTTCTTTATACTTGAGTATCACTTATTACCACCACGTTTTGATAGTAGAATATTAGACTCGATTGGTCCAATATTACTTATCAAAATTTTTGAATCTTTAACATGTTTAGGCTAATTAAGAGTGCATTATATTCTCAACATTTTTTTTTTGAAATATAATATACATTATTATATCATCTATCATATCATATCAGTGCATGCACATACATCATCTATAACACAACAAACGTGGGTAAAAAAAGTGGCAAAAATATAAGATCATGGACTATGATTGCCAGACAGAAGACATCATGATATTTCAAAACCAATGAATCATTATTTTTTGTAATTCTAAATTTATTATTATTTATGTTTATTTGGCCCCCGGTCAAATAAAGTACCAGCTGCTTTATAAGAGCATCTACATCAGAGGAGAAATAGGGGAGAATTCACTACTTTTGAGGTCAAAATGTCATGGTGGCAGAGAGAGAATCAAGAGAGAGAAGGGGTGGGGAGCATCTGCAAATGTTGGGATATTACTCTGCCCAAGAAAAATAATTAATGATGAAGGATAAAGAACCAATAGAGAAATGACATGCTTATTTTTTATATATTTTTTTTATAAAATCAGTTTTGATTTTTTTTTTCCCTCCCCTTCCACATTATTCTCTTTCCTACTCACTCTTACATTCTCCCCCTAATAACCCCAACTGATAAGGATGCTCTAAGGTGATTTCGACACAATCATGACAACATAGAATGGCGAGAAATCCCTTTTGGGACATCCTCGGTGTTTAATTGATGATAAGGTACATTGATCAATCTATTTTTTAGATGAGTCCAAGTTAGAGTCTATGTGTTTTTTTTTTTTTTTTCTGTATAAATATACTAATGAAAATATTGAGAATTAGAATATTAAATCTAAGACTGTATTGCACCCGAAACTAACAAAAGCTTAGTTGGACACGTTTTAAATTTTGATGTTGTTTCCTAATAAATACAATTTTTTCGGAAATGTTTCAGCTAGATTGTTTCAAAATTAATAGGAAAATCAAAAACTAGTTTATTTTAAAAAAAAAAAAAAATGGGTCAAAACTCCAATTTTGAAAAATTAAATTAAAACATAATCCCCTTATTTCACATTTTTGTCCACACATAATTGTTCCCTAGTTTCCTCCCATTTTCTTAACCAGCCAATTAGGATTACACACCAAAAGGTCAAGCCCCAAACGCAACTAACAGCAACGTTTAACCAATCAATTAGGATTACATACCAAAACATCAAACACCAAACGCGGCTAACAGCAGCGTTTAACCGCTGAACCAAATAATGTATCATGCATTTGTCAAGGTAAAAGTTTTATTACCAAGTTTTTTTTTTTTTTAAAAAAAAAAGATTACAATTATAATAGTTTGGTGAGTAAATTAAAAATACAATCTTTCAGCCAGTAATATGAGGATTAAAAGAAGGGACTTATAAAATACACATCTGCACAAGGGAAGGAATACACTACAATCTTTCACCTCAGCTGCTACCAATTTCTCAACCAAAACCAAAACCACTTCTGGGAGAATACATACACACTACTTTGTTGTTTCTTATCATATCCATGCCATTGAAGATAATATTTCTGATAAAGGAACCATTTTTATGGCAGTAATTTTCGACTCGGCCACATCAGAAAACGAGATAACATATACACAAAATAACCAACAGGGTTGCGGTTGGAGGTTACTCACAATAATGTGGCAAGTCAGTTCTGTATCATGTGCAAAGTCCCGATGATTACCTTCGCTATGTTGACAAGCGCTCGAGGTCATACTGCATGTAAAACCGCTGGAATGTAATTGTAGTAATCACTTCTCTCATATGCAACTCTTTCAAGACTAAACCCGCCAGCTCGAGTTCCTCTTCGTGGGCGAGCCCTTCGACTATAATGGTATATGTTTTCTCGTTTGGCTTATAGCCTTTCTCGATCATCTCCTCGTAAATCGCCAATGACAAATCCGTTCTTCCACATTTGCATAGCCCGAGTATTAGAGTGTTGAAGTTCATAATGTCTAGCCTATCACAGTTCGCCTCGAGAATCCTAAGCATCTCGATGGCAGCACCCAGCATTCCCTCCGCGCACAACCCTCTGATCAGGGAGGAATACGTGTTTGCGTTGGGAGTAAATCCGGCCATTGTCAGATCGTACAAAAGCTGGAATGCTGGGTACATGTTTCCCTTCCTGCAAAATCTAGAAATCGCGGTTCCATAGAAATCTTGGAAGGGGCGACTCTGTTTGACCCTCAAAACCTCGAAGATTTTGAAAGCCTCTTGCCCCATCCCCTCCTCGTAAATATATGTTCCATCATCGGGGTCACACCGCTGGATAATCATCTCGTTAAGACACTCCCTCACGGCATTCACCTTCTTTTCATTACAAAGGCGGGCAATTATTGGATTATAACTCGCAGCAGTTGGCTTCAACTTATTCCTCGAACACATTTCATCCAAGATATCAAGTGCATTACTAACTTGGCCTTGAAGAGCAAGCGAACCAATTAAAATATTGTAGGTTAACACATCCGGGGAAATACCCTCTCTAGCCATGTCAGCAAGAAGCCGGTACGCCTCCTCCCAGCGCCCTTCAAAGCACGAGGGATTCAACACAATATTGTAGCTAACAACATCAGGACTAAACCCTTTCACCGGGAATTTTCTAAAGAAATCTATAGCTTCATCGACTCTTCCCTCCTTGCATAGCCCCGTCAACACAACATTGTAATTTTCCAAAGTAGGCTTGTCACCATTGGCAACTATGTTTTCCAAGAGAACCATAGCCTCATCAACCCCCCTCTCCATATAAGTAGCTTGAAGCAAGACCGTATAAGTATATGAATCCGGGACCAATCCTTTTTGCATCAACCTATCGATAAACTGGAGGCTCAGAGTTAACTTCCCTCGCTTACAAAGCCCTCTTACAAGACAATTATAGGTCACATTATCTGCGGTGTACCCATACTCCTCCATCTTTTCGACTAATTGCATTGCATGCCCAACACTTCCTTTCTTGCACAAGACATTCACCAAGAAAGTGTAAGACCTAGCATCTGGGATACTCCCAGACCTACCCATCACTTCTATAACTCTGCTCGCTTTTCCGGGCTTATTTCGTTGGCAAAGAGCACAAACCAGGTCAGTAGCCTGGGTTAAATCAGGCTTATAACCCTTCTTTGCCATATTCTCTAAATAGATAACTACATCAAATAGCTTATGTTCTTTGGTTCTTTGGTAATTCCAGTTGGGAAGAACAATAACACCACCCTTCACGGCTAAACCGCTCTGCTGCTTCTTAGAAGAATTAGCAATACGGGCCTGGGCAACGGCTAATACTCTAGGAAGCCTCTTCTTTCGCAGCAAGGAATGATAAAGTTTGGGCCTTTTGGGCAAGAATTCACAAGGGTTTCTTGTGAGTTCTGATGATGGGTTTGTTAATGGAGGTGCTGAAACGATAACCACGGCCATGAATTGAATGATTCCGTGAAGAAAATGACAAATAAACAATCCCTTATCTCCTAAATTCTGACAAAACCAGAAACTTCATAAAGAAGCAGGAAATCAAGAAAGAGGATAAAGGGAACATTGAAGTTCAAATATTAATCTTTTCTCACAAATACTGCCTACTGAACCATTAAACTAAGCCAGTGCGGACATGGCTGAGGAAGGGAAAGAGAGATGTGTATGAAAAAATAAGAAAACTATCTTCTCAGTAAACAATTTGAAGACATTTTCCGTCAGAAATAGTCTTTTTTGCTTTAAACTAAAATGAATATTTTGTATTAACTTCATTTTGTGACAAATTAAAAAAAAAATGACTTTCATGAAGTCATTTTCCTGAGTTCTTTTGAACTTTCCAACGGATTCTAAAAGAATCCCTCCAATCTCAATTTCTAACAGTACAGACTAAAATTACACTAAAAATCCCCTGCACTTTTGGTAAACCTCATTTCACTCTAATTTTTAACTACAACATCAACATAACCACCAAGATTGTGGCATCTCTCTTCTGTTTCATGCAAAGTCAACTGCTTTCTGCAATGTTGATAATCCCACAATTTTTTTCGGGTGGACCAAAGGTTTCCACCGTCGGACACAGTGACTAATCTCATCGCTGAATTGTAAGCACCTCTTTTGAGTGGGGCAGTTGGCCTGGAGATTTAAGGCGGCTCCATACCCAAAGCCAATGATCGAACCGTTGATAATCCCACAATCTCATACTGTGTCACAAGCCGCCCCAATGTAATTTTACCTATCACTTTTATCAAATGCAACTCTTTCAAAACTAAAGCCGCCAGCCCCCTTTCTTCCTCGCGGATCAGCCCTTCGACTATGAAGGTGTAAGTTGTCTCCTTCGGCCTGTACCCTTTCTCCACCATCTCCTCGTAAATTGCCAGCGCCAAATCTGTTCTCCCCGATGTGCATAACCCGAGTACTAGAGAGTTCAAGAGGTTAACATCTGGACCGTAACAGTTTGCATCCAGAACCCTGATGATCTCGATGGCAGCACCGTGCATTCCCTCCTTGCACAGCCCTCTGATCAGCGACGAATAGGTGAACGAGTCGGGAGTGAATCCAGACGTTGTCATATCGTACAAAAGCAGAAACGCTTCGTACGTGTTTCTCATCCTACAAAAAGCAGAAACCACATTTCTGTAGAAGTCGTTAATAGGGTGCTTCTTTGTTACCCTCAATTTCTCGAGAATCTTGAAAGCTTCATGCACCATTCCCTCCTCCCCCTCCTCCTCCTCGCAGAGAATAGCAATGGCACTATACGTTCCATCGTTAGGATCACACTGCTTATCGATCATCTCGTTAAGACAGTTGATAACAGAATGCACCTTCTTTTCTTTACAAAAGTGGGCGATTATCGGGTTGTAACTGTCAGTCGTTGGCTTGAACTGTACCCCGGAATCCATTTCCCTCAACATATCAAGGGCATCACTAACTCGGCCATGATATGCAAGCGAGTTAATTAGAACATTGTAGGTTATTATAGTCGGTGAAACATCGTCTCTATCCATGTCAGCAAGAAGCTGGTTAGCCTCCTCCCACCGCCCATCATAGCACAAGCTCCTCAATATCAAATTATAGCTAACAATGGTGGGATTAATCCCTAGCGACGCCCATTTCCTAAAGAACCGAATAGCTTCATCAACCCGCCTTTCCTTGCACAACCCCGTCAACAAAACATTGTAACAAACCACATTAGGCTTCCCGCCCTTGGCAACAATGCTTTCTAAGAGCAACATAGCCTCATCAACCCCGCAATCCTTATAAGTAGCTTGAAGCATGATCGAATGCGTATACGCATCGGGCACAAACCCTTTTCGCATCAACCTATCTACAAACTTGAGGCTCACGGACAAGCATCCCCGCTTGCAAAGCCCTCGTATAAGAGTGTTATAAGTCACGGTATCCGTCGTGTACCCATACTCCTCCATCTTTTCGATTAATTGCATCGCGTGCCCCATATTCCCTTTCTTGCACAAGAAATTCACCAAGAAAGTGTAGGAAGATGCTTCTGGCATACTCCCAGACCTAACCATCACTTCCATAACCTTGGTTGCTTTATTGAGCTTATTGTGGTGACAAAGGGCATAAACCAGGTGGGTGGCTTGGGTTAAATCAGGGTTATAACCCTTCTTTACCATATCCTCTAAATATATAACTGCATCATTTAGCTTATGGTCCATGATTCTTTTGTCATTACTGGGAGACTTCTTCCAGTTTGGAAGAACAAAAACACCATCTTTCACAGCTAAGTCACTCTGATGGTTAGAAAAATGATTAATTCCAGTATGGGCAACGGCTAATAGTCTAGAAAAGCTCTTCTTATGCGGCAAGGGAGCATAAAGTTTCGGCCTTTCCGGCAAGAATTCTGATGGTGGGGTTAGGGTTCTTAAAGGAGTTGGTGAATTTATAAGTACAGACATGAATTGAAATGTTTCGAGAAGAAAATGACAGAAATTAAAAACAATTCCTTATCTCCTAAATGTGGAAAAAAGACAGAAACTCCATGTGAAGTGAGGAAAGAAAACCCAGAAATGGGTGTGGGGAAGAAAGGTGGTTGAGCATACAAAGCTTAAAAGAAACAGGAAATGAAGATGAAACAGAAATGGAGCTAAGGGGGAACATACAAGAAGTGTGTTTGCAATCACTGATTTGGGTTTGCTTTGTCTTCCCCACTCCCCTTTATTTTATCTTCTCTCTTCTTTCTTCTCCAACTTCAGAAGACGATTGGCTGTAATCTCTCGACGCTATCGCTAATCCTGACCTCAACTCCTCAAGTTATCTCAGTATCTTCGGCCCTTGAAAGCGCAAATGTACTCAGGCCCACCAATATTGGCTTGAATAAATAAATAAGTACTAATTATTTTAACATACCAGGATTATGTGGTCTAATGGTACTTTGGGTTGTGAGTTTGAGCCTCAGTGGAAGTGTTATTAGTTCTTTATATTTTAATAGGTTGAGAAAGTATAGTGAGAACCAGTAGCATTCAAAAAAGATGAAAGAAAATTATTTAAAAAAAGACAATGCTATTTTCCCTTCTATTTTTTTATTTATATTTCTTCTTATGATGTGATTTATAATTATTAGGTGTTCATATATTAAATAACTCGCCATTAATTTAAAAAAAAAAGTTCATTGTGTAATTATAAAATGTCATTTAAGAATAGAAAGATTGAAGGAGTGGGTAGTATTTCTTTTAAAAAAATTATAACAGCTAAAATTAACACAATATACCACCAGAGTATTGTTCAGAAAGATTATACTATATGATATAAAATTATATCCTCTTATTTCAGATTTTTGTCCACACAGAATTGTTCCATAGTTTCCTCCCATTTTCTTAACCAGTTAATTAGAATTAAGTACCAAAGCTAATAAAGACTTTGCTACAACAACAACAATCATAATAACACAATTAAAAAAAAAAAAATAGAAAATACAAAGGGAGCCGCATGCATGGGTTTGCGGCAAATTATATTATGCACCGCGGTGCATAATCGATTATGCACCGCGCGTCTTTTTTTTAAATGAAAATAAACAGTGTTTGTTTCCGTCGTTTCGTACCCTTTTGCAAAAAATAACTCTGTTATTACCCTTTTGCAAAAAATAACTCTGTTATTCAGTGTCATTTTGTATACACTGCAGTTTCAGTTCAACACAACTACAGTTTCATTTCGATATAACTATAGTTTCATTCGATATTTATAGACTCAAATATGTGAAAGTGTTATTTAATTTTATTTTATATACACTATAGTTTTATTAAAACACAACTACATGATCATTTTGATATAATTACAGCTTTATTGTACAATATACACTCAAATATGTGAAATGTTATTCAGTTTCAGTTTATATACACTGCAGTTTCATTTCACTATAACTACAGTATCATTTTGATATAGCTGCAGTGTCGGTTTGGATATACTGTAGTGTCAATTGGTGTTTAATACACCAAACAAACGGACTCCGTTAACTCTAACGGCGGGCCGTTTCTTTACTTAAAGAAACGAAGTAAAGAAACGGCGCCGTATATGGGCCGCGGTGCATAATCGATTATGCACCGCGGTCTATACACCTGATGGGGAAAGACCTTTGCTTCTCGATAACATCAAACCCCAAAAACGCGGCTAACAGCGGCGGTTAGCCGCTGAACCAAACCAGAAACAACATATCATACATTTGTCAAGGTATAAGTTTTATTACCACGTTAAAGAAAATTACAATTATAATAGTTTGCTGAGTAAATTAAAAATACAATCTTTCAGCCAGTAATATGAGGATGAAAAGAAGGGACTTGATAAAATACACATCTGCACAAGGGAAGAAATACACTACAAAATACAAATCTACAATCTTTCACCTCAGCTGCTACCAATTTCTCAAGCAAAACCAAAACCACTAATGGGAGAATACATACCAAACAGGAACTTTAGCTTTAAATAAGTTATAAGCACCTAAATAAGCTCTGTCAAACTGAGCCCTTATCATATCCATGCCCTTGACAGTATTCCTGATAAAGGAAGCATTTTTATGGTAGTAATAATTTCAACTCGGCCGCATCAGAAAACGAGATCAACATATACACAAAATAACCAACAGGGTTGCGGTTGGAGGTTACTCACAATAATGTGGCAAGTCAGTTCTGTATCTTGTGCAAAGTCCCGATGATTTACCTTCGCTATATTGACGAGTGCTCGAGGTCATACTGCATGTAAAACCGCTGGAATGTAATTGTAGTAATCACTTCTCTCGAATGCAACTCTTTCAAGACTAAACCCGCCAGCTCGAGTTCCTCTTCGTGGGCGAGCCCTTCGACTATAATGGTGTACGTTTTCTCGTTTGGCTTATAGCCTTTCTCGATCATCTCCTCGTAAATCGCCAATGACAAATCCGTTCTTCCACATTTGCATAGCCCGAGTATTAGAGTGTTGAAGTTCATAATGTCGAGCCTATCACAGTTCGCCTCGAGAATCCTAAGCATCTCGATGGCAGCCTCCAGCATTCCCTCCGCACACAACCCTCTGATCAGGGAGGAATACGTGTTTGCGTTGGGAGTAAATCCGGCCATTGTCAGATCGTACAAAAGCTGGAATGCTGGGTACATGTTTCCCTTCCTGCAAAATCTAGAAATCGCGGTTCCATAGAAATCTTGGAAGGGGCGGCTCTGTTTGACCCTCAAAACCTCGAAGATTCTGAAAGCCTCTTGCCCCATTCCCTCCTCATAAAGAACAGCAATAGCGTTATATGTTCCATCATCGGGGTCACACCGTTGGATAATCATCTCGTTAAGACACTCCCTCACGGCATTCACCTTCTTTTCTTTACAAAGGCGGGCAATTATTGGATTATAACTCGCAGCAGTTGGCTTCAACTTATTCCTCGAACACATTTCATCCAAGATATCAAGCGCATTACTAACTTGGCCTTGAAGAGCAAGCGAACCAATTAAAATATTGTAGGTTAACACATCCGGGGAAATACCCTCTCTAGCCATGTCACCAAGAAGCCGGTATGCCTCCTCCCAACGCCCTTCAAAGCACAAGGGACTCAACACAATATTGTAGCTAACGACGTCAGGACTAAACCCTTTAACCGGGAATTTCCTAAAGAAATCTATAGCTTCATCGACTCTTCCCTCCTTGCATAGCCCCGTCAACACAACATTGTAATTTTCCAAAGTAGGCTTATCACCATTGGCAACTATGTTTTCCAAGAGAACCATAGCCTCATCAACCCCCCTCTCGATATAAGTAGCTTGAAGCAAGACCGTATAAGTATATGAATCCGGGACCAATCCTTTTTGCATCAACCTATCGATAAACTGGAGGCTAAGAGTCAACTTCCCTCGCTTACAAAGCCCTCTTACAAGACAATTATAGGTCACATTATCCGCGGTGTACCCATACTCCTCCATCTTTTCGACTAATTGCATCGCATGCCCAACACTTCCTTTCTTGCACAAGACATTCACCAAGAAAGTGTAAGACCTAGCATCTGGGATACTCCCAGACCTACCCATCACTTCTATAACTCTGCTCGCTTTTCCGGGCTTATTTCGTTGGCAAAGAGCACAAACCAGGTCAGTAGCCTGGGCTAAATCAGGCTTATAACCCTTCTTTGCCATATTCTCTAAATAGATAACTGCATCAAATAGCTTATGTTCTTTGGTTCTTTGGTAATTCCAGTTGGGAAGAACAATAACACCACCCTTCACGGCTAAGCCGCTCTGCTGCTTCTTAGAAGAATTAGCAATACGGGCCTGGGCAACGGCTAATACTCTAGGAAGCCTCTTCTTTCGCAGCAAGGAATGATAAAGTTTGGGCCTTTCGGGCAATAATTCACAGGGTTTTCTTGCGAGATCCGGAGATGGGTTTGTTAATGGAGGCGATGAATTTATAAGCATAGTCATGAATTGAACAGTTTCGTGAAAGAAACAAATAAACAATTCCTTATCTCCAGAATTTTGACAAGACAAGAAACTTCATATGAAGTTATGGTTGAGCATTTAAAGATTAAAAGATGCAGGAAATCAAGAAAGAGATTAAAGGGAAGATGAAATGGAAATGGAGCTAAGGAGGAACATACAGTAGAGTAGAGTGAGCCTTCTTTACTTTCTTCTTCTCCAAGTGAGGAAAAGGATTGGGTGTAGCGCTATCATCATCTTGTGACTGCAACTCCGGAAGTTATCTCAGTATGGGTGATAAGATTGGGCCCTTGAATGCACAACTATATTTGGGCCAACCATTTGATTCCTATTAGCCTACCTTGTTTTTTTTTTTTTTTTTTTTTTGGTTGAAATACTCATGATTCTTTACATAGTATTTCGTATGTGTTTTATACTTTTTCAAATATTTTCAGTCCAAAAAATCTAAGTCCTATTATCGAGATTTGAACACATAACCACCAATTTGAAATGATAATCGAGATATCATCACACTACATGATAGTCTATCTCTTTCCCTCTCTCATTGGTATCAAGTAAGTAGGTCGGTCTGTCACATGCTCTATTACACTATTTGAGGTAGCAAGTTAGGCTAGTCCTTTTTTAAAAAAAATAACTATCTTCTGAGTAAAAAATTTGAAGAAATTTTCCGTCAAAAATAATCTTTTTTGCTTTAAACTAAAATGAACATTTTGTATTAACTTCATTTTGTGACAAATTAAAAAAAAAATGACTTGAAACTTCCTAATTTGAACAAAAATGTAATGTTGTGTTACAAAATACAATTGTACGTAGTTAATTGATCATGCTTAATTAATACTCCTACTACTAAAAATGATTATTACTACTATCTATAGCTAGTCACCAGTCCCCACAACGTTGCATGAACCGTCCAATTAAGCTAGCTAGTGCATAATTCATCCAATCACAATATATAATTATCACTATATAGCTAAAAACAAACACCAAATACAATTGTACGTGGTTAATTGATCATGCTTGATTAATACTCCTACTACTAAAAATGATTATTACTACTATATATAGCTAGTCACCAGTCCCCACAACGTTGCATGAACCGTCCAATTAAGCTAGTTATTCATCCAATCACAATATATAATTATCACTATATAGCTACAAACAAACACCAAATTAAAGCTAAGAAAATGACACTTGAGTTTATAAAAGTTGATAACAGAATGCACCTTCTTTTCTTTACAAAAGTGGGCGATTATCGGGTTGTAACTGTCAGTCGTTGGCTTGAACTGTACCCCGGAATCCATTTCCCTCAACATATCAAGGGCATCACTAACTCGGCCATGATATGCAAGCGAGTTAATTAGAACATTGTAGGTTATTATAGTCGGTGAAACATCGTCTCTATCCATGTCAGCAAGAAGCTGGTTAGCCTCCTCCCACCGCCCATCATAGCACAAGCTCCTCAATATCAAATTATAGCTAACAATGGTGGGATTAATCCCTAGCGACGCCCATTTCCTAAAGAACCGAATAGCTTCATCAACCCGCCTTTCCTTGCACAACCCCGTCAACAAAACATTGTAACAAACCACATTAGGCTTCCCGCCCTTGGCAACAATGCTTTCCAAGCAGGCCCGGATTTTGGGCTGTGCAAGCTGGGCTACCGCACAGGGCCCCAAATTTTAGAAGCTCAATATTTTATTTTTACCTAATTAGTTTAGAAATAAAAATTAAAAGTTTTTAATTAAATTTAAAAGGCTTTATAAAGAAATGATAGGAACATGTATTTATTGTATTTTAACTTTGAGGTCTAAGGTTCAAAACTTGTGCACACTATTATTATTATTATTCCATAATATGTCTATTTTTACCTGTGCGTTGCACGAAAAAGATTTGTTATAATCTTAAAATTATAACAACGAATATTACATAGTTCAATTGATGAAATGGGTTGTATTGATTATGTTATTTTTATGTTATCCTTGCTTGAATTTGAACAAATAATTGTCCAATTATCCGTGCGATGTGCGTGCAGTGTGCGTGCAATGTGCGTGCTAAGAAAATGACACCTTTTTTTTTTCTTCTCAAAGTTGGATTCTATATCATCAAATGGAAAAAGGCCATAGGCCATACAAAAGTTGTTTGGTCCAAAAGTGACCAAACTTTGGAACATTACAACAATGCATATGGTAAAAAACACCTAAGGCCATCACCAGACGTTATGCCATGGAACCGTAAAACATGGTGAACACAGTTCCAACGGTGTTAGTACACCGTTATTTTTTTTTTTTCTTTTCTTAATTAATTGCGTGACTTTTCTTCTTTATTTTCACATTTTGCGGTTTCACTTTAATTTGAGGTGAACAAAGATTTCGGACATTCATAAATTATGAATTCATGCCTGCGCATTCACTTTGGAACCATGCCTACACATTCCCGTCCGAAATCACGGACATTCATAAATTATGAATCCATGTCTGCACATTCACTTTGGAACCATGCCTACACATTCACTTTGGAACCATGAGATTATGAATTTTCTGTTATAAGATTATGAATTTTCTGTTATGAGATTATGAATTTTCAGTTATGAGATTATGAATTTTCTGTTATGCGATTATGAATTTTCTGTTATGAGATTATGAATTTTCATTACTTTCATAATTTCGGACATTCATAAATTATGAATTAATGCCTACACATTCACTTTGGAACCATGCCTACATATTCCCGTCCGAAATCACGGACATTCATAAATTATGAATCCATGCCTGCACATTCACTTTGGAACCATGCCTACACATTCACTTTGGAACCATGAGATTATGAATTTTCTGTTATAAGATTATGAATTTTCTGTTATGAGATTATGAATTTTCAGTTGTGAGATTATGAATTTTCTGTTATGAGATTATGAATTTTTATAAAATTCATAATCTCATAACAGAAAATTCATAATTTGATCAAACGCGCGCCGTTAACTCCACATCTGCGAAATTTTCTTTTTTTACCTAAAAACGACGTCGTTTTGCCTTGTGTTCACCATTCTCGGTGAACACGATTCCATGGCATAATTTGCGGGCCATCACGGCTTGTACGTCTAACAAGGCCACATTGCCATTTCGGCCATTACAAACAACCAAAAAAAAGAACCTAGAGTGTATCCTTCTTCTCAAGTAAAAGCCATGATCCTTCGTAGAACAACATAGTGAGTGTAGCCTCAAGAAAATGACACTTGAGTTTATAAAAGTTAGTCCTTTCCCTTGTGTTTATATTTAGCTCTTAGTTTTTTATCGGTGAAATATATATGTTCTTGGTATTGTGAACAGGGCCGGCCCTGGGACATGGGCAGGTTGGGCCCTTGCCCAGGGCCCATGCTTAGGGGAGGGCCCCATCCAATCTCTTATATATATTTATAGTATATATATATTGAGTATAAGTAATTTATATACATATATTTTATAATAAGGTGAATTAGCTTGGTTGGCAAGATATTTGAATTTCAACCTCATTTAATCAAAGGCCTGTGATCAAATCCTTCCTTTCACATTTCTGAATTCCCTAACTTTACTTCTTTGCTTATATATTTTAAAAATTTATTTTTACTTCTTTGCTTATATATTTTAAAAATTTATTTTTATTGATTTTTTTGTGTTTAATACGGAGTATTATTAATGTAGTTTTTAAATATATAAATTTTCATATATTTATACTAAACATATTATGAAAATTTTTTTATCTTAAATATATAATTTTTATATTAAATTTTTAATGCAATTTCTAAATTTATAAAATTTTATATACTTATACTAAACATATTATGAAAAATTGAATTTAAAAAACTTCAATTAACTCATGTTAACCAAACAAGACACGTAAAAATAAGACGGAGGGGGTTTATGATATATTTTGAGATTGAATTATAAAAAAAAATTAAAAGATAATTTACTCCGTTCCTTTTTATGAATATCTAATCAATGTAATATAAAAACTTCCATCATGTGTCATTATATGTATTTAAATTATTTTTAAAAAAGTTTAAAATTTATCTATTTAAAAGAAAGGTATTTGTATTAAAAAAAAAAGTGTGTATAAAAATCATATAAATAATATAAAAGATGTGTGATTTATAATATGCTTTATGTTCAAACTATTTTATCTAGATAATTATGTTTCATATCTTTTTGCATTTGTTTATTGCGTTTTGAAATATTTTAATTTCTTGCTCCTAGTAAAAAAAAAAAAGATTTTTAGCTTTCCATAGGTTTGTAATTATTGTTTTATAAATTTTTATTAAAAATTAATTTATTATTTATTATGATAAATGTTATTGTTTATAAGTTTACTCGATTTTAAATTATTTATTCATTTTTATAAACTATAATATTATTTATTTATGAAGACACTTATACGATTATTTATTATTTTGCATTAAGGAAAGCACCTAGAAATTTTTTTCATGATTATTGTTGTGTATGTATGTAAAATTGTTAAAAACTTGTTAATCTTATTTAAAGTTATTGATATTAATAATTTTTTCCTTATTTAGTTTAAATTTTAGGCATAAAATATATATTAACCGGGGTCCGTTTTTTTAATCTTGCCCCGGGCCTATAAAATGATAGGACCGGCCCTGATTGTGAACTCACACGCTAAATATTGCGGTGGTTATGCATATCTTTATATGGTATAAAAGTATTGTTGTGATTCAGTCCACACAAAATGTTATATAATCTAATTATTGTGAACTCACACGCTAAATATTGCGGTGGTTTGGTCCACTAATTTCTCAAAAAAATGCTTCTTTAGCTCTTAATTTTAGTTTTTTATGTATTTAGATGGTTTAAACAATCTTTTGAACAATTTTACAACCACTTTCGTAAATAGTTTCTAAGAAATAACTATGGAAACCTTATTAATTATTACTAAATTTTAATAAAACTTTAATTTTTAATTTTATTTTTAATTAAAAAAATAAATAATAAATAATAAAAAAATCGGCGCCTAGGCGCCCTAGGCGCTAGGCGCCCCCTTGCCGCCTAGGGGGCGCCTAACGTGTTTTGCAACATTGGTACAAATACACTCAAATATGCGAAATGTTATTCAGTTTCATTTTATATATACTGCATTTTCATTTCACCACAACTACAGTATCATTTTGATATAACTGCAGTTTCATTTGATAATATAAAAATAATACGTGAGGCAGTGTCAGTTTAGATACACTGTAGTGTCATTCCGTTAACATTAAAACAACGCGTCGTTTCTTTACTTAAAGAAACAGCGCCGTTTTGATGCGCGATGCATAATCGATTATGCACCGCGGTCCACGATATAACAACTGCAATTTGTATACAAGGATTTT